CTGACAGGCGGCTGTCCAATTTTCTCTTGAAGGCCTCCAGCATTGGAGTGCTCACCACCTTTCGAGATCATTGGTTCCGTTGTCGTACTGCTCTAACAGTAGCTTCTGAATTTGTATTGTTTTTTGTTTGTTTGTTTTGGAGGGACCACATGCCTTTTTTTCTGATTCCCGCCCCCATCCCCTGTAATCTCTCTGACCTTTCAGCCTCATGAAAGATGGAAACTTAGTATTTGGAAGCGGGTTGCCGGGGATCCAAGGAGAGGAGAAACGGATTTTACAGGGGGAGCGGAAGCGGAGCCGATTCTTGCATTGCTCTCGATTCCTCTTCCTTCCTCAGCCCTTGTTTTTCTTTGTGGGTTGGAGAGGAACTGGCTGGGCTGAAAGCGAGCCGAGCCAGCCAAGCTGGAGAGCTCTGGGAGTAAAAGAAAAAGGATCTTTGTGTTCCCCCAAACAAATGTTTGGTTTTTCAGCAGCTGCTTTCCTTCTTTCTATAAATATATCATCCTGCTTGGAACCATCGGGATGGCACCTCATAACGAGAGAGAGAGAGAGAGAGAGAGAAAGAGAAAGAGAAAGAGAGAGAGAGAGAGAGAGAGAGAGACCACCCTGGAGGTGACCTTCCTGCCAGCAAGGCTTTTCCAAACCTTTTGCTGCCACTTTTGCTGCGGCTTCAGCGCGGGACGGTTTGAAGGGGCTGTATTGTATGGAGATCCCAACACTTGAGATAACTCTAGTTTGCAGGGCGGGAAGGAGGGTGGGTGATGGCGAAGAGGCCTCCGCTTCGCGCTTTCTTTCCGCTGGAACAAACGAAATGGAAAAATCCAGCCTCGTTGGTTTCTCACCTTCACCGTCTCTTTCCTTCACGTTCTGGGGACAGGGTGGGACGAAATTTCCATGGGCCCCACCCTCCTCCTGCAACGGCTACAGTACCTCCCAAATAGGTTGATCGGGTCAAAGGCATGTTGGCAGATAATATCTGCAAAAGATTTTGAATGCTCGAAATGCTGTGCATGAGTGCACACCGGTTGATTGCTGTGTAAGCTAAGAAGGGGTCCCCAGCGTGGGGCCGTGGGTAGAGTGACCGAGCAGGACTCCGGAGACCTCGCTTGGAATCCATGGACGCTCACTGGGGTTGTCGGACCGGTAGAACCGCTCTTTCTATGCCTCGCTTGCCTTGAAAGCCCTGTTAGGGTCGCCTTTAAAAAAATCCTGCGTTTCAGGGAGGCCTTCCAAACTGACCCTGTTTGGTTTTGATTTTATGCTTCTCTTGCTCCTGTTGTATATAGAGATTTGCCTGCGGTGCCATATGTTTTCCAGATGAATGTTTTCATTTTTTTTGTTTATTTGTAGTTTCATCTGTATATGGTTTATTTACTGTTGCAAACTGCCCAGAATAATGCATTGCGTTAATGGGGGCGGTACACAAATTAACAAAATAAATAAATAACAGCTGGTTCTGGCACGACGGCGCATAGCCGACTAACACAACAGGACAAAATGTATAGTAGTTGGATATGAAAGTGTTTGGAACATAAGCAGCTGGTTTGTTTGTAGAAGTACATATGCAGATTTATTGGGGGGGGTGTTGGACTACAGTTCCCAAAATTCCCCAGACAACTCAGCTGCTAAAATCGCAAATCTGCTCCCCTTTGTTTGCCTGATAGCTTGGTGTGTTTCTCCCATTCTGGCCTCTCCTTTGGACTTAGGGTGTCAAGAACAATTAATACATCAACCGAGAAAGACATTCTCTGAATTAAACCTTCTCCTCGATGAGAGGGTTAACTTCTGTGGGAAAGACATCCTGTTCTCTGCTCTGCTTAGGATAGTCAAGGAAAGATGAGAAGTACAAATGAATATACAAAAGATTTTTATATGCCATGATATGCAGTATTTGCATCTCTACACACATGTGCATTGTTTTTCTGTTGGCCTGATAGCATCAGAGGATGTTTGCTTTTCCCCTTTTTCTGAGCCTACGGAGGAAGACTTAGCATAGGTACAGTGCTTGTGGCTGAATATTGTTAGCTTTCTTTCCTGTCTATCCCCCCCCCCACCGCACCCCACCCTTACAACCTCTCTGCTCCTGGAAACAAGACACTCCTTCTGCCTCTCTCGTCCTGGCCGGCCAGAGCCAGCCTCCATCCATGTGGCTAGTTTGCACCTGTCTTCGTGAAATCCGTTGTGAAATCTCTGAAAGCTACACCTTTAACCCTTTTGACTTTGGAAATCAGCCCTTTAGAGCTGAGCAAATCAGAAGGGAACATCTGAGGCTACCTTTCATTGGGTCAAGTGACTGGCCCAGGTCATCGTCCTTGTAATTCAATCGACCGTCACTCTCCGAGGGGCCTTTCATAGCAATCTTACCCGAGAGCGTTCCAGATGGAGATGCCAGGCAGATCTGGGAAACAGTTGCCTGCCTGCCGAGCATCAGCTCTGCCAGTGGGAGACTCCATAACAGGCTTTCTTTTTTGGGTGTGTGTGTGTGTGAATATTGTTGCGATTGCAACCTGGAGGCAAGCCAAATGGCAGCTTTGCTCCTTCCTCTTCCGAAACGCTCTCCTGGGTCAAATAATTTTGGTATGACATTCCATCACAATACGCTGACTGCCTTTTCCATAGGGGTTACTTAAAGCTGTATATATTCGAGGGCAGCGCAGAATCCGCAGCAGCCGTGCAGAATTCAGTGTCCCCCTGAACCCCAAGTTTGTGTGTGTGTGTATCTATATATATATCTATACAGTATCCATATCTCTATCTCTATCTCTATCTATCTATCTATCTATCTATCTATCTATCTATCTATCTATCTATCTATCTATCTGTCTGTCTGTCTGTCTGTCTGTCTGTCTGTCTGTCTGTCTGTATGTATGTATGTATGTATGTATGTATGTATGTATGTATGTATGTATGTATGTATGTATGTATGTATGTATGTATGTAAGTGTGTGTGTATATATATACATACATATATATATAACATATATACATATATACACACACATACACATACACATACACACACACACACACACACATACATACATACATACATACATACATACATACTGTATACACATACACATACATACATACATACATACATACATACATACATACACACACACACACACACACACACACACACACACACACCCACACACACATATAAAAAAAATGAAACCCCCGGTGCTACAGCTGAATCAAGATGGGTTACACTAGGGGTAGGGGAAAAACCTAAAACCATTTTGCTTGCTGTGTCGTCCTTGGGCATTACATATAATCACTATGGTGAATAAGTGTCAAACATAGACAACCAGGAAGAAAAATACAGGACTGTATTATCTGGATGATACCTCGTGTGGTGTAGTTGGTAGAGTGATGGACTCAACAGGTCCGGATTCAAATCCCCTCTCAGCCATGGAAACTCACTGGGAGTGTGTAATTGGTAAAATCACTCCATGACTATCTCATTTACCTTAAGAGCCCCTTTAGGGTTGCTGTAAGTCAGTTTCCTCTTGATGTCACTGAAGATAACATTATCTTGATATCTGGCAGTTAAGCATGAGATGTAAGTGGGGGGTGCTTTAAGTTACTTAAACCAAAACATCCAAACAGGCCTTGTTTCGGACTCTGTGCATCCAAAATACTCTTCATTCTGCCTAAGGGGTAGAGAGAATATTCTTACAGAACTTGTGTGTTGCCCACTCTGGTCATTATGATATCTTTGGGGCTAAAAGCACCAGCATTCACGTCAAACAGCAATTTTGCTGATACATTCAAGGGATAAATCTGAAGTTGAAAGGAACGGTGATTCACTCAGCCCAGCAAGATCATGTTCTTATTTCATCCCTTCTCTGGTTCTGAGATAAATTGCTCTATAAACAATTACAGGGTGCTGGCGGACGGCTACTTTTCACTGTTGTATAAAGAAAAACAGCCGATCATCCAACTTGTAGACATGGCAAACTGTGCGTTGCAGCCAAACTCCGAATGAATTCCTTCTTTGGAGGGTTCTGATTCTTTGAAACGGCAATGAGGTGATTAAACGGCAGGTGGAAAGGGAGGGTCACAGGGTTAAGTGTCTCCCCATGAGAACAATTCCAAGGACATGATGGAACTGTTTGCTCTGAAATTTAATTTTTGCTGCCCGTGGAATTCTTTTCAGGAGATGTTGAAATTGCAACCCTGCTCTTCCCTTTGTGGTACGGTCGAGAAGCAGATGGTCGGCAGTTTGTGTGAACTCTCCCCACGCAGGGGCATTTTTTTAAACGCCGGTCCTGAGCAGTGCTCAAATAACACTCCAAGAATCCTTGTGGGGTGGCATCGAAAGGGTTCGGCTAGGACTCGGGAGAGCCCCTGCTGAGTCACATCCGAGTGATCTTGGATGGGTTGTTACCTCCTACCTTGACCCCTACCTCTCAGAATGGTTGGGAGGAATGAAGCCATACATGCTTCCGCTGAGTTTTTGGAAGGAACATGGGATTCAGAAGGAAAAGCTTAACGGGAAAGACTGTAAGCATTGTGGGTTATGCAATGAAAGAAGGGAAGGCCTGCCACCCTCCTGCCATCGCTTTTAACCTTTGCCTCTTCTTCACCCTCGAAAAGGCTGAGTGCCAGCCGGCTTGTGAGCTGCTGAGCTGCAGGGAGGCGGAGGCAGCTCCTTGCCCGAGCTGAGTTCCCTACCTCGCCCGCGCCATTTGGCCGTCTTGCCCGTGTCCTCTCAATGCTTTGTGGCTCCAGTTGTTTTCTAACAGCATTTTTAAAAAATAATAATAATAATAAAGCGCTGAGTATATATAAAAGGCACTGGACTGATGGATGACATGAGAATCGCTGTTCCCCAGCGCTTGCTTCTTCTGCTCTTCCGAAAGACCCGCATGGCGGCCGAGGCCCGCATCGTGCAGCTGTGTTTGCATGCTGCCATTAGGAATGCCTCTGCAACAGACCACTCACGCCTTGCTTTCCTTCCCCTCTTTCTCTCCCCTTCCTAACACTTCCAGTTCTGCCCAAAGCCAGCATTGAAGTGGAACCTTACCCAGCCCACCCTGGCGACCTCCTCCAGTTGCGCTGCCGGCTCCGGGATGATGTTCAGAGCATCAACTGGGTGCGAGATGGTGTCCAGCTGTCCGAGAACAACCGGACGCTCATCAAAGGGGAGGAGGTGGAGGTCAGGGACGCTGTGCCTGAGGACTCAGGGCTTTATGCCTGCGTGACCAACAGCCCCTCGGGAAGCGAGACCACCTATTTCTCCGTGAACATCTCAGGTTTGTAGCCGGGCGTTTTAGGGTGGTGCGATGTCAAGCCAGTTTTTTGGTACCTGGTCTCTCTGTGAGAAAATTCCGGATTCCTTTCACTGTCATAAAGAGAGTCCCAGTGTTTCTCTTGGGGTTTGTGGCGAAGCTGGGTTTTGAGTGAGGCCGGATTCTTCAAATGAAAGGTGCTGAGGAACACCTCCCACTCAGATGTGCTTGTGGTGGTGGGGGTGGTTAAGATGGCATTTATGACAAAAACTTGGAGGAAGCTTTATCAGGCTAAATCCAAAGAAACAATACAAAATAAAACGAAAGAAGACAAAAACGAGTAGCACTCTAAAGACTAACTACTATATTTTAATGTGAGCTTTCATGGACCAGTCCACTTTGTCAGACATATGTGGGGGGGGGATGAAATGCTGGATGCAAGAAGCTGTCTCTTCACTCTCATTTCACGTGTTCATCCTTCATGTGAAAATGGGCCAAGGCCCCAATAGCCCTTGTGATGGATGCAAATCATTGTCGTCATGGACAAACTGCAAAGAATTTAAATCCATGTGTGCAACTGCATGACATTTGAGGCTAGCTGGTGCTGAGCATCATCTCTGAGAGCTTCCCCTTTCCTGTTGGCCTGATGGTTACGCTTATCCTTGGAACTGCATGCCACTGCAATCATGATAATGGGCAGGTTGGGGCGGGGTCTTTTGGGATCAGCGGGAAGTGGGAAAATAGACCCTGCCCTTTTCTCTGGTTGCCATTTGGTGACCAGACTGTTTGTCTGCCCTCTTTACGATCATGCCAACAGCAAATGTATGGCCTTACAGTTTCCCTGCAGTCCTGATGTTAAAGACCAAGGGACTTCATGGAATTGTTCCAGCTGGGTTGATTGTCCATAGATGATCCAGAAATTGGGGAACATGTTGACACACACGTTGAAATAGCACCATGAGTGCTCCAGATTGTAGTTGAAGAAAGGAGTGTTGCTTATCAAGATCATGCCAACAGCAAATGTATGGCCTTACAGTTTCCCTGCAGTCCTGATGTTAAAGACCAAGGGACTTCATGGAATTGTTCCAGCTGGGTTGATTGTCCATAGATGATCCAGAAATTGGGGAACATGTTGACACACACGTTGAAATAGCACCATGAGTGCTCCAGATTGTAGTTGAAGAAAGGAGTGTTGCTTATCAAGGGTTCCTGCAGTCCTGATGTTAGAGACCAAGGAATTGTTCCAGCTGGATTGATGATCCAGAAATTGGGGGAACATGTTGACACACACCTTGAAATAGCACCATGAGTGCCCCAGATCATAGTTGAAGAAAGGAGTGTTGCTTATCAAGGGTGTGACTCACCATGTTGAGATTAGAGGATATGGTGAGTCAGGAGAGAAGTGAACATGTGATTGATAACTCTACAATACCATCTCATAGTTCCTCTAGAAAAAACATCCATGTATCCAGCACCAAAAAAGTGCAGAATGCATTATTATTCTCAGTTTCATGAGAATTGTGTCTTTCATTTTTGGAAACAAGTTTCTAGTCCTTATACCCTTTCCCCCCCGAAAATAAGACCTAACCTGAAAATAAGCCCTAGTCTGATTTTCAGGATGCTTGTAATATAAGCCCTACCCCAAAAATAAGCCCCCGTTAAGTGAAACCCTGCCCTCCACTGCCATCAGAAGAAGAAGACATGACTATAAAATAAAACATCCCCTGAAAATAAGCCCTAATGCGTTTTTGGAGCAAAAATTAATATAAGACCCTGTCTTATTTTCGGGGGAACATGGTAGCTACAAAAATGCAATGGAACACACAGCACAATACCTGCCAAGAAGAGAAGAACTGAAGATTTCCAGTATCCTATGTAACCCTTTTCTGTGTCTGGTCCATTTGTTGCAGAATAAATTATGGAAATTAAGGAATTAAACAGATTTGGTCAATTAGCCTAATGTGTGAGGTAGTGCATTCCACAACTGAATCATTCACATTATGATGATGAGGTTCCATCAAGACAATTTATCACAAAGATAAAACTTTCCCTGGCCTGTTCTACTTCTGGCTAAAAGTAGAGAAGATAATGCGTCTCGTTGTATCCTTGTGTTGGACAAAAGGAAAATTCCCCGTACAATAAAACAGATACTCTCTTGGCATCCTGTCAGGGAAGGATGCCAGAATTGAAATGATGGTGTAAACTGTAGCACTGAATTTCCACTAATTCACAATCCCGGTTGCATGCCAGTTATGGGCCTTGGCATAAGACCAGAACTACAAATGGCATTTTGTAAATCAGCTGCTGCATTTTATACAGTCGCACTTATAATGGTACAAATCTCCCATAGGATTCTAGCCATTCAGGAAGATTATTCTAAGCTTATCATATTGGCATTTCCAATTTTCTCTCTCTCTTTTTTTTCCACATGGGGAGCTGTTCGAACTTTTATTTTATTCAGATGAAAAATATTATACAGTTGAACCTTGCATCAGAAGTGGTGATGATCCAGGCATGTTTCTATCATGTGATTCACTCTTGATCCTGATTCAGTCACTAATGATGAGTGAGGCTGTGTATCATTAGGGGAAGCATGTTAGCCCCTGTGTCTCTGTCAACATGTCTATTGTCCTCTAAACCAGTGGTCCCCAACCTTGGGCCTTCAGGTGTTCTTGGACTACAACTCCCAGAAGCCTTCACCACCACCTCTGCTGGCCAGGATTTCTGGAAGTCCAAGAACATCTGGAGTCTCAAGATTGGGAACCACTGCTCTAAACCAGTGATCCCCAACCTTGGGCCTCCAGGTGTTCTTGGACTACAACTCCCAGAAGCCTTCACCACCGCCTCTGCTGGCCAGGATTTCTGGAAGTCCAAGAACATCTGGAGGCTCAAGGTTGGGAACCACTGCTCTAAACCATCCCTTCTCAGTCCGGGCCGTATGGCTCCCTGGGAGGCCCTGGCGCATTTGAAGGGGGCCACAGGTTCATGTTCTCATGTTGTCTGAAGACAGCCAAAGGCTGTGCTTGTTTGGCAGGGTGGCCTGGAATCTGAGAGGGAGCTTCTAAAAGGGTCACGGCCAAAAGGAGAATGGCTGCCTTAGACAATGGCTGCAGATCTGAAGTTGAGGGTTCCTGCAGCCTTTGAAGGCTTTCCGTACGAGGTGGAGCCCTAAACAATCAAAAACCTGTCCCCTGGGGCACGGGCCAGCACGCTCCCCCTCCTCACACGTTGAATAGATGTGCGTCAATAGCAAGTGAACGGGCTAAGAAGTGCGAAGTTCGAAAATCCCCAAGGACTGTGGTTAACCACAAGCATCTACAGATTTCAGCTGTCTTTGGTCAGCTGCCAAAATGTGTGCTTGGCCTTCCAAGGAAGAAAGGATGAGTCTTGATTGTGATGTGAGTCAATCCTTGGGAGGCCTTCAGAAGCCCAGAGCAGCTACGAGGACCGCCTCTCTCTGACCTCCTTCCTAGCTTCAGCTTTGCCGTGTTGATCCTGCGGGAGGCTCCGTAAACTGGGATGTGTTTGTGAGATTCCTTGTGAAATCATCAAGGTAACCAACCTTTCTTGAGGCTTTGGGCCTCATCAGCAATTGGGAAGGAACTCACCAGTGGCAAGTGCATTTGTGAACCTGTAGTCACCAAGATAATCTACCCCTGAATCCTGTTTTCACTATCCTTCTAGTCTTTCGTCCCCAGTTACTGTTCTGCTGTGTGCCACAGAGTGTCAACGGGCAACCCCTCCTGTCATCCAGACCCAATATTCCCAAAGAGAGTGTGTTGTGCCATGTATGTGTGTCTGAAGGGAGTCACAGTTGTGCTGCAAACCAGCAGAAAGGGGGACTTGGCTATGCATGCTTGTCTTCTTTCACCGTATTACACACTAAAATGCTGTCAACTCAGATACTGTATGATACCGGCTTCTTTCCCCCTCCCCTCCTCAGATGCTCTCCCATCTGCTGAAGATGACGACGATGACGATGATTCCTCCTCGGAGGAGAAGGAGGCAGACAACTCCAAACCAAACCGTACGTTGTGAGAATTCTCCGTTCCAGTCATTTCTCCTTGCACACCTCCCGCCCAATCAGGAGCGTCACTTGGCAAACCCATATGGGAGAAGGGATGTTTTTCCAACCAAGTTCCTTTTCCTGTCCAGTTTCCTGCATGATTCTGCACATCTTTTATTTATAGACATTATATACTCCTTACCGCTACCGATTTTCAAAGCAGTGTCCACAAACCATAAAACGTAACAGGAAAGCCGGTCCTTAAAAATCTATACGATGGTGCCTCGCTTGACGACATTAATTCGTTACTATATATAGAGTAATCTTCCTTATTCACTGGAATAAAAAGAATGGTAGGCTAAATTACACCAGGAAGGCATCCATAACTGGAGGGGTCTTCAGTAGAGATGGGCATGAACTGCTTGGTTCATGCTGATTTGTTTATTGGCTGAATTCAGTGTTTCAAAGCCCCGCCTTTGCTAGCAGGCACCCACTCAAGAGACAGCAGCCTGGCTTCCCTGCCCCGCTTCCTCTAGGCGCTGCCTTTGAGTGGGGCTTTGAAGTGCCAATCACGTGTTCGGCCAATAAACGAACTCGTGCGAACCATCAAAACGGCAGTTCGTGCCCATCTCTAGTCTTCAACAAATGCCTTTGAGTATGATTTATCAGTGCATGTCTTCTATCAGAAGGAAGACAGTCTGCTTAATGGCTCTACCGTGTTAAATGCCCTCCTTCAAGAAACTGTGCAGCCCACCTCAGAACACGAGGAAGTCACCAGGAGGGACACATTGGACTGAATGGTTCATAAGGGAGATAGGCGGTTCATGGGTCTCTTTTGTCCTTCAAATGCCCAAAACTTGTGCAGTTGGGAGTCAATTTCAACGATAACAACCCTTCACACTTCCGTACTTCAGATTTCAAATAAGTTAATTTTTCCCAGTTTTGAAGGGGGAGAAATCCAGCCAGTCCTAAAACAGATGGTGGGAAGGAAACTATAACAAAATTTCTCCTAGAAAGCAAAAAGGGCACTTTTTTAAAAATTCAAAAGGAAGTTGGGAATGAAATCTGAGGTTTATTATGAGGTGCCCACCCTGGGTTAGCAGGAGGCTTTCTCATATCATATTTTACCTTGACATTAGAGACACTGCCTATCCTATTTGAATAAATATGAATGCAAGGAACCTTTCTCTCTCAGAATAATGAATAATCTCACTCTCACATGCTTCCACCAAGGGCTAGGCAAGCACCTGGAGCAGACCAACAAGCCCACTGAAGTTGAGTTGTGCAATAAGTGTGCTTTTAAGTGTTGAGTGTTAGCTAGTGCAGTGATTCCCGATCTTGGGTGCCCACTTGTGCTTGAACTGCAACTCCCAGAAACCCTGGCCAGCACAGCTTCAGGGAGTTGCAGTCCAAGAACACCTGGGTTAGCCAAGGTTGGGAACCACTGGGTTAGTGGCTGTCACCAATCCCAGTTGTTCTAGACTATGGGAAGGTAGCTGACTTGGCACAGGGTTGGTTCTCCCGTGTCACCTGATTCCCAGATCTTGGAAGGATCTGGCCGTTTAAGTGCAAATGTCCTGAAATGGCCATCTCTGATCAGGGACCCCAGGCAGGGCAGGGCAAGGAGGGAGTAAGTACCTGACCAGCAGGGCTCTCAGTTCAAATCCTGTTGTGCTGATTGTTTTTTCCCCCTTTATTTCTCACTTTTCTCCCAAAGTTGGAACTTAAGGTGGCTCACCTTGAAAGCCTCCTTAACGTTAAAGAAAGAGTGTGAATCAACTGTGAGAACAGAATTAAATTAAATAAATTTTAAAACACTGCTTTGAAAACATGCCTATAAGAAATGTGTAGTCATGAGCCCCGTCTCTCAGCCGGTGGCCAGTTAACAACAGCCTGCCTTAATAAAAGCAGTTATTGCGTGTATATCCTTTTCTCCACACCCTGTGGTGAATATTGCACTGAAACCCATTTTCTTTCCGATCTCCTTCAGAAGCCATTCCGCCTTACTGGACCTACCCAGAGAAGATGGAAAAAAAGCTCCACGCGGTTCCTGCTGCCAAGACTGTAAAGTTTAGGTGCCCGTCCAGCGGAACGCCCACCCCTACATTGCGCTGGCTGAAGAACGGCAGGGAGTTCAAACCTGACCATCGTATCGGTGGATACAAGGTGGGCGTCCAAGAACACAAAATTATTCATTTACATAGTGCTTGGTTAAACTGTGGAACTCACTGCTACAAGAGGTAGTGATGGCTGCCAGCTTGGCTTTAAAGGAGGATTAAATTCATGGAAGACAGCGCAACGGGTGGTCGCAGGTCAGGATGCATGCCACTTCCAGGATCAGAGGGAGGTTGCCTCTTTAGATCATTAGATGGAGACCATGAGAGAAAACGTGCAGTTCTGCACAAGTCTTAGTGGGCTTACCATCTGCAACTAGTCGGACGCTGCGTGAACCGAATGGTGGACTAGATGGATCTTTATTTAATACAGCACTGATTCTTATAAGTCTCTATTGCAGTGGTTCCTCACCTTGGATCCCCAGGTGTTCTTGGACTACAACTCCCAGAAATCCTGGCCAGCTGGTGGGGAAGGCTTCTGGGAGTTATAGTCCAAGAACATCCATGGACTCAAGATTGGGAAGCACAGCTCTGTCATCTTTCAGTTAACCCCTGTAATGATCATTTAGAGAACAGAGAATTAAAAAGGGCAAAAAAAAGAGAGAATAAAAATATTAAAATGTTCGTGCTGTAGTTACATTTTCAAACTCTTGTTGGGCTGAGGTTCGATGTTTTGGGGTTTTTTTTTATTCCTTTCTTTCTTGTTCCTGCCTGACAACCGTCAAAAGCTTTCGCATTAAAGCCAAGCTTGTTCACATTGCAGGAAATTCTTCAAAGTTTCCACCACAGGGTTTTGTTTGTTGTTGTTGTTTTGTTTGTTTGTTTTTGCCGGAGAGGCAAGCTGCTGTTTAGGAGAAATGGGTTGCCTCTTTAGCATATAGTGGAAACTTTAGAAAAATAGCAGTTAAAAACCAGCTCTCCATCATTTGGGTTTAACGTTCAGAAGCTGGTTTCAGAAGATATCTGAAAATATAGCTGAGGCCTTGAACTGCAGTTTAAGCCTCCTGCCTCACTTGTAATGTTCTGTTAAATCCGAGCACTGATTTTCACTATGTTGTGTTTTTTGAGCACAAAAGATTTCTTTGTGACTGTAGTTCCCAACCTCAGGCTCTTAGATGCTTTTGGATTACAATCCCCTGTAATCCTGGCCAGCACAGCTGGTGGTGAAGGCTTCTGAGAGTTTTAATCCAAGAACATCTGGGGACCCAAAGTTGGGAACCACTGCTCTACGCCATTTTAAATCTGTTTTATCAGTGAATGCATTAACTTTGGAGGATAAGTTGACAGATACCATGGACTGCCAAAACACAAAATACCGTATTTTTCCATGTATAAGATGCCCCCATGTATAAGACCCCCCCCCACACTTTTACAACCCAAAATTAAGAAATCTAAGTGGGGCTTAGCAAGTGGAGGGGAAAGCAGGGATCAAAGCCCTGCAAGATCACTTTGATCCCTGCTTTCCCCTCCACTTGCTAAGCCCCACTTAGATTTCTTAATTTTGGGTTGTAAAAGTGTGGGGGGGGGTCTTATACATGGGGGCATCTTACTTTTGAAGGTCACCAGTGAATCCACATGAGACTGGTTTTAATGCTTGGCTGCTTGACTTTTTGAGAAGGGCGAGAAAAAGTTTGTGGGGATGGGCAAAATGTCAGCTGGTGTCTCTCTCTCTCTCTGTGTGTGTGTGTGTGTGTGTGTGTGTGTGTGTGTGTGTGTGTGTGTGTGTGAGAGAGAGAGAGAGAGAGAGAGAGAGAGAGAGTTTTTTGTATAATATTTTTTAC